TAACTCCAACTAATCAAAACGTAAATGCCGTAATGAAGTCGTGCGTCTTTACATGCACACACAACCAAGTCACTTCACACGCACATACCACCCTGTTCTTGGTCGTTCAGTCTGGACATCGACTAGTCTCCCACTGCAGGCTGCCCTGACTCGATCTGAGGAGTCGAAGTTCAACAGCCGAAAGTGTAAAGAAAGTCAGGCCTGGGTACCACGGCTTCAGGAAAACAGAAGATCGGCAGCTCTGAAGTGGCGCCCTGGCGAAGGGGGTGAACCCGGAAACAGCCTCGACACAGGAAGAGACACGTGCCGCTTCTTTGTTCAGTCTCAATAGATCCTCCCATTTCGGTTGATTTATCTCCTCTGCCCAAAATGTCTCGTGTCTGGTCAAAAACGGAGGCTTGCGTTGAAGTCCCGGCAATCCAACTTCAGGCTCGTCATAATTGTGGAACAATCGGTGGTGAACACATTTCCGACTCTTCACTGCCACTTCATTAATTCCTCTTTCGCCGTCTGAAGGGTACACGCCATCCCCTTCCCACTGCTGGCCTCCTTCGTTCAGTTGTTCGCCTACGCATACAGGCAGACCAAGGACCCTGTCCCACTCTGCTCCCATTCTCCCATCCTCTCTCATTCCATCCGGCCATTGAGATCATCATTCCGTTTCGTGTTTAGTCTCGTCCGTCTGGAACTTTCACTTCACCATCACCAAATGGGCATCTCTAGTCGCAAGACCGGCAATTCATCATGCCTGACGAAGAATTTATGTTCTCATGTGATCTGTGTGACTTTAGCACGTGAGCCCCGGCTGGCCTGACGTCTGAGTAGACCGGCTAAATCCATCTTATACCCCACCGCAAAGCTGCATGTGGATAGAGACACATTCGACTACCAACACACGCAAGTACACCATCATTCACACGACCAACAGCCTCACAGAACAGCACATATAATCGCATAAGGCAGGCACGAAAAGCAAGAGGCACCCGATGGGACCAACTAGTAATCATAATAACATTTAAAAATGTGGAAACATAATCAACCGCACACGTACATCAGCCCATTAGGTCCATCCATCTCTGACTTATGATCAAAACAGGTGCCGCTCTAATTGCATTAGTCCCCCCGGCAATCACACCAGCAACACAATTGGTGCTGCCGCACATTTTGTATTCTCCAGTCTGCGGTTCGCCCAAGGATGTGGCCCCATGCCGCCTGGAGCCAAGGCAGTGGGGCATCCAAAACGAGTACAATCTGCACCGAAAGTAGGCAGAATAGAGGTTGAGACTACGCGGGGCCCATTGCTGTTGTACGTGCCCTTATCATTTCAGTCGAATGTCAAGACCTGCATCCGAAAAGCTGTGATTCCCTTTCCCCCCCCGCGATATCCACCAGACAGGGTCGTTTGGCGCCCCGTTCGAGGAAGCTGGGGATTCTGAAATAAGTGGCATCACTTTTACTGGCTGAAATCAGCGCATGTGCTAAATCGCCTATCATTGCCGTAAGGCGATTACAACCTTAATGCCAACCAGACCAAGGAGTCGGGGGGCAAAAGTTTCAAATTTATTGTGACCCCAGGTCTACTTTAGTCTTTCCAATGACACTGGAATTGACATCAACACTACTAGGCTCCTGTCAGTTAGCAGGCTTCGAATATGGGCATATGAGAAGACGGCCAAATAGCCACATGGAGGTTGTCTGGCCCAAAAGAATTTGCTAATATAACTTGTTAGACTAAAAATGAATCAACTATATATCTACACACACACACACACATATATATATATATAATCACATGCAATTTATATAGTATTATAATTGCGTGTTTATATGCTACCCAAGAGGATAGCACGCAATTCTAAAAGTTTCCTACCTTCTTTGCCAACTGTCAGGAAGTACAGAGATCACTTATGTACAAGAACTTAGCCAGCTTATGCCACTTAATGTAAAGTATGGACTAAAAGTTAAGTTTTTCCCCACGATATCATTAAGGTCAATTTATTTTCGTTTTTTAAGTAAGTTTTCGACACTTCAAGTAAATCTTAAATATTAACCGTATTCACTCTATTTCATTTAAGGTGATGCAAGAATAGTAGTTGAATTTCCCCAGATTGATGTGAGTAGGCCTCATCATTTCATTCAATTTTACATAGCCTTGCTTGCCTAAAGACATCCTCATTCAGGTTTGACTATAGTTTCCAACTCGTCTAGGTCCCATCAACACCCAAAGCGGAAATCAAACCCAGGCATTGCTGCATGCAGTCTCGACTGGCCAGTTTCGAGTCCTGCTGGGGGGCTGGTCAGACCTTGGCGAGGTCGAAACTGCGCTCTAGTCCAGCCTGTATGAGAATACCTTATGGGAGCAAAGGCTTTGCGAAATTTAATGGAAACGTAAAGCTTACTCATAAAATTGTGGTAAAATTCAGCTTCCAGTCCTTCATCACCTTAAATGAAACAGAATGAACACAGTTATTATTGTAGTTCCTTTGGCTTTTCATCCCAATAGCTTACCTCAAACATGGTCGATTGCAGTTTCGACCTCGCCTAGGTTTCATCAGCACCCCCAGAAGGATTTGATATCTGGTCGTGAGTATCGTGGCGACCTTGCCACTCTACAAGGCTGCCTCGGGTGCCAGTGAGTCACAGGACATTTGCGTCAGGTCTCTTTTAACTCACACTTTTAAATTTAGATTTTGGGTTATGCAAACATGTTTTTGTCAGTACAATCGGCGACGCTACTTATTTTAAATTTAAGTAGACTTCAATACTATCATTTTTTTGGGATAAGTAGTTATACTGAAAATGAATAAAGTCTTCCATTATAATGAAAAATAAGTGCTTACTTAATCGGTACTTACATTATAAAAATGTGATTTAGCAGAAGTCTGGGTTGTCTTGAATGTCACATCAACTTTGTGACTTCTTGGCACCCGTTGCTGTGTAGTGGAGTGATATGGTAGCATCGCCATGCTACTCACGACCAGGTACCTTATTGTGCTGGGAGTGTTGCTAAGATAATAAAGCGAGGTCAAAACTGCATTTGATATGAGATAGCTTTTTGGGAGGCAAGGTTAAGTTAAATTACACAGCATCGTCTTGTGGGAAAACTCAACTATAAGTCTATAAATTACCTTAAGCTGCCAAGGCTGGCTAAGTTCTTATTCAAGAAGTACTGATATTGTTGAAGGCCATATATAAATATAACACTTAGAAACAGTTTTAAAAAGATATATACTAAGTTCGTAAGACTTTCATCTCTGCAAGTAAAAAGTGAAAAATATGATTTTCTTATATGCCGCACATATATGGGCCATACTTTAGTCAAATGCTATTAAAGTTATCGAGACCTGGTCCTTAGAGTTTCATGCTACTGGGAGATTCAAGTTCGAATTAAGGTGAAGCGATCAGGCGTGTTGGTTGTTGAATTACACTTGTATTTGGATAGTGAAAAATGCTTGGTAATTTTAATAATATATAGGCGACGACAAATTGCCATTGTTCTACGCCATTTAAGTAACAAAGACTTTGTTGAGAGAATTATATTTCGTATGAAAGTGCATGCTAATAATTTTCTGAAGGTCGATCCTACCAGAAGACAAAGGCTGATTTCCGGCTAGACTCCCTTACCTGCTGTCAACTTGAAGCTTTTGCAAGAGTGAGTCCCAGTTCTGATGTTAGTCGTCACATTGCGAATGAAAGCTCAGTCCACGTTCATCCAAAAG